CTGGTGCACTGAATGCAGCTGGTGCGAGGCATGCGACAAATGCAATTAGTGGTTGCAAAGCGAGCAAGTTTTCGAAGCAGTGCAATACATGGGAATGCAGCTAATACAAAGCATGAACTGCCCCCCGGCTAATACAATCACTGCTGGCTGCCATGCTTGCAACTACTGCAACAGCAGCACGGCATGCAGAGAATGCAGTTGATGCAATCGGTGCATTGCCTCCAGCTGTTGCAATAAGCGCAATACTGCATTGCAATAAATTCCTCGATCCTTTAGGGGGGCTTAACGGAGTCCCCAAACAGCCGCTTTGCCCACTTCAATGGCCTCCTCCGAGCTGACTAAAAAGTTGAAGCCGAAAGCCAAACTTTTTTCCTCCTCCGCCAAAGAGCAGGCAGAAAACTAGGGCAGGTGAAAGGGATTGTGATTGGTTCAAGGTAGAGCCCTGAACCAATGAGAAAAATGGAAAGCGGAGCGGGGGGGGCAGGTAAACTGAGAGCAGCCAATAGCACAGGGCCACAGGGATAAGGGGCGGGAGGGGGAAGTGTAGCAATCAGTGTGCGCAGGGCAGGTGGAGGCTGTAGGAGGGTGGGTGCGATTGGCAAAACTGATGAGCGACTTAAAAAAAAAAACCAAGGACGAGTGAGATTTTCAACGGCTGGTTGGGTTGCAGTACAAATTCTAACGCAGTGCAAACCTGGCCCCCAATCCTGCAAGTAAGAGCCCCAGGGGCTTAACTTTGCACTCTAAGGGTATGTCTACACTGCAGTGTCAGCCTGGGGTTTGAACTCAGGCTCAAGTCTAACCCTTCTTTCACCCCTACAAGTCTACACACAAATCACACTAACCCAAGGCTTGGGCCCAGGGCTCCAGGACCCTGTAGGGGGTAGAGGGGCCAAACTCAAGTCAAGCTAGAACCCAAGATGCAAGGTCTATTTATTGCTTTGCAGTGTAGATGCAACCCTACTGGACTTGTGCTGTGGCAGTTAACCAAAAGTATCCCATAATCCTATGGGCCAACAATCTGGATAGTCTAGTCTGATGAATAGTCAAGTTTTCCCACTCTGTGCCATGAACCAAGGGCTAGAGTGGGTGCATTTCAGGAGGGCACTAGGAAGTCTGGGATATGGTTGGCTGGACTCAGATCTGCAGCATAGATAGTGGAGGCCCAGGTTTGAAAATTCTTTACCTAGGATTAACAATCAGTGTAGATGCTCAAGCCCTGGGTTCTCTAACACAAGATCCACTAACTCAATTTCCACTAATCACAGGTACCGATGGAAAAAAATTAGCAGGTGCATAGCACCCACCAGCAGCCAAGCCTAAAATCTTTAGTTTGTTTTATATTTTCCCAGTTTGTTATTTTAGCTTAGAAATATTAGGCCTTGTGTACCTGGGGAAATCGCACCATTTTAATTTAAATTAGTTTTGACTTTTTTCAGTTTCATTTAAATCTCTTTCCAAGCAACAAGCTAAACCAAAATAAGCTGCTCTTAGACAAAAATAAGAGCACCCAGTGAGGGATTTGAACCAGTTTAACTAATCCTTTTAAATCACACCTTAACTTAAACTGACAAAAAAATTTCATGTCGACAAGCCCTCAGGTAATTCAAATCTGGTTTTGATCTGAAGGATGCTCATTATGAGCTCTTAACACTTTAATTGAAGGGAGATGGAGATGATTTTTATCAAAGGTTTCCTTTATCCAAAATGTTAATTGGTCATTGAATGCAAGTAGGAAGTTAAATAACACAAATAACCAAAAAGTCTTAAACAGTCTGATTAAAAATCCTCTCTCTTCTTAACAGCTCAACTTTCTCTCTTTTTTCTCATCTTCTTACCAGGTATGCTTTTTTTTTTCTTTCTTTTTTTTTACAGTCATAGAGCTTTCCCGCCTCGACACCATGTGAATTTCTTATGTAAAAATGAACAGGAAATAAAAACCCCACCCCTTTCAGGCCTTCTTTGTGCACCATAAAGCGACAAAAAATGGGCACAAGGCCAATTTTTCCCCGTCACGGATCATCTTCAAAAGTTGCCTTAAAGTTAACCTGCAATATTACTTAGCCCTTTAATTAGACCTTTATAATGCATAGCTCTGAGACTGTTTCATTAAGAAAGTTCAGTAGGATCTTATCCCAGTTTTATAGACTCCTACTGGATAATGACAGAAATAGTGTGTTTATTATTATTATTACTTCTTCTGAGCATTACATTGTGGTTCCAAGAAATAGATTAGAGGTCTGAAAGTCAGGATTCCTGGGTTCCTGTCCTATCTGTGCTACTGACACTGTGAATTTGGGCCAGTCGCTTCTCACTTTCATCCTCTGTGAAATGGAGATGAGACTAATACCCACCTTTCCAAAATGTTCTGAAGTCCAGGTGAGATGAATAGTGCTATGTAAGTGCAGAGTATTAGCATTACACAATTCAGTATCCTTCAGGAGCATGTAAAAGCTTCTCTGGGAACTAAGCCTGTTTTACAGTTCACTGGTCTGGAAAGGGTCATGCCCAAGCTTTCCTCCCATCTGGTCTGTTCATTTAAGAAATGAAGCACTGAAGGTGCTGCTCATGCTGGAGGAGGCAGGGGCCAATGATTGCTTTATAAAGAATGTGCATGTGGACCCTGCTGTATTTAATACATAGATCCAAGCCCTTGTACAAACATATCCCCTAAAAGTTTGAGGTTTTCATAGGATGGAGCCAGGGTAGTTTGGGAACCTCAGTCCCAAAGCGCAAGGATGGCCTAGTGACTGGGACACTAGCTGGAGACCTGGGTTCAAGTCCCTATTCTGCCACAGACTTCCTGTATGACCATGAGCAAGTCACTTAGCTTCTCTGTGCCTCAGTTTCCCACCTGTATAATGGGGATAATAGCACTGCCCTGCCTCACAGGGATGTTGTGTGGTTAATTACATTAAAGATTGTGTGAGAGAGGAGAGACCTTTTTCTCTCTGGTCACTAGGTATCAGTTGCGAGGATTACACCTGAAGAGAGAAGGGGAACTTCGTTGGTGTTTATATTAGGGTGTGTAAATGCATTTTCTGAGTCAATGCTAATGGAGCTAAAAGACATTTCCAGCCTAATCTTTTTCATGCAGTTCGGGGGGAATAGCTCAGTGGTTTGAGTAGTGGCCTGCTAAACCCAGGATTGTGAGCTCAATCCTTGAGGTGGCCATTTAAGGGTCTGGGGCAAAAATATGTCTGGGGATTGGTCCTGCTTTGAGCAGGGGGTTGGACTAGATGACCTCCTGAGGTCCCTTCTAACCCTGATATTCTATGAACTGCAACCTGGTTCATTGTTGTTGGTTTTTACTTTGTTTGATGTCAGACCTGCTAGAATCTCACAGCTTCGCCTCTAAGCCACCCTTATTTTACCAGAATACCTCAACCATCAGTACTTTTACAAGTGCTGTAGCATAAACTCTGGGACTGCTTAACTGACATGCACCAAGCCCAAGCAGACTGTCCTTCCCATGGCAAAGAAGAAACCATGACGGCAGTTGGGAAACCATTATAATGATCTCTCCGTTCTCTGTCTATGAGAAGGACAAATACAGGAATTTAGGGATTGGCAGACTGGATCAGATATGAGGCCCTCCTAATCCAATATTTTATCTCTGACAGTGGCTAGTACCAGCCACTTCAAAGAAAGGTACAAGAATTTCCATAGTGGAGAAATATGGAATAACATGCCTATAGGGGACATTTCTTCCTGACTGCATCAGTTGGTGGCTGGTTTATGCCTTGAAGCATAAGGGTATGTATCCCTTATATTTTCTCTGTATCTACTTTGTATAAGCATATGTAAATTAGACTTTCCAATCCATCATTCTGCCACTGCCTCATAGGTGCTCAGATACTACAGTTATAGGCAACCTTATAGAAACCTAGATGTATCTGTTATTCCATGAAGGTTTGGCAAGAATCTCAGCAGGTATGATAGAATGAAGAGGTAGCAATTCATACACAAAAAAAGTGGTTGTAGAGTATGTGAAATCAACATTCAGGAGCTAGCTGCTATTTTTATTTTGAAGACAGAATCCCACTTACTCAATGTGGTTTTTATTATTTCATTTCATCTTGACCCACCAGTGCCATTTCTGTACATCGTTAGCACAAAACATTATCAAGGAAAGCCCTAACAGGAGGGGAAACACTTCAATAACATGAGCTTCCATGCAAGCATTTGACTGGCTGTCTGAGGCTCCAATGGCCACCAGTTTCTGATTCTTGGCTCGGCCCTGCTTCCTATGAATCCAACACCCAGCAACAGCTCTAGCACAGAGTCTATGATGCTTTCTCTCTGTGCTTTCATCAGAAACTGTTGCTTTCAGTTCTTCATCCCCCTTTCAATGACCAAACCATTCAACCAGTGCAAACTCAATGGACTCAGGTGTATTCTCATGCCAGGCTTTAACCCTCTAACTGCACTGTATCAAAGGTAGTATAGAGATGGTAGGAGCCAGGAAGAAATTATATTTTCAACATTAATTTGTTGGATTAAATATATTACATCCTGGTTAGTAGCACTGAGGACAGGAGCATAGTGCAGAGAAGTGCAGCACGGCTCTACCCATGTACCTTGATCCTTGCTACTCCAGTCTTGGTCTCCCACTTACCTCTGCCAGTGCACCTTAATGCTGACATACAGCATCCCCTGGAGAGACTGTCAACTTTGTGGCTGTTTTGTTTTTATATAGACAGATATTGTTTTCGGCCTGGAGGGTAAAGAGCATAATACATATAACTTCTATTGACAATGAGATAAATGCAAAACTGCTGTTAGCTGAATGGGGACCTTTGGAAGCCTGGTGTAGCTTGTTACACACCAGGCTAAAAACAAATATCTATGTACATCTTAGATGTTTGTCAGGAGGCAAAGGATTGCATTAAAATCTCAATATTTCTCCTGGTTTTAATGACTTCTTTTCATGCTGGATGGGATGACTGGGGTTAATCTAATTTGAAATCTGTCCCAGCCTTGCTGCTTTGCATCGAAAGCTTCTCGTACCTCAACCCTCCAGAGGCCAAATATGGGACCAATGTGACCCCTCAGGGAGGAACAGAACTCACTGGGCAACTCCCACCAGCCTGGAAGCCCTTCCTCTGAGGACCCAGGAACATGCCACCTTTTCTCCCCACCACGACCTTTAAAGTCATGCTCCCCAGTTCTTCGGAGATTTTAAAACAAAGGGAACAAAACAATGCCGAACCATGTGAGACAGGAGATCAGAAATCCAGATCCAAGCAGGTCGGCTTCAACGAGCTTTTCCAGCAAAGTTTCTGCTTCCAAGAGATTTCTCAGCCACGGTTCATGAGTAGGTAGAATTAGCCTCTTGGCATTGCAGGATGATGTCTCATGCCTGTGGTGTCCATGGAAAGTTCACTCATGGCCAACTCTACCTACCTACAGTTCTCCCTCCACATTCACCTTCTGTGTCCTTTAAGTTTCTCCTTGCTTTGGAAGGCCATCTTTCCCCCCTTTGGAGGGCTGTTGTACAGAATCATATGTCCATTCTGAAAAGATTTTGCTGTTCTAAAAGCTTTTGTTTTCTCCCACACACATGCAGCACAATGCTCAAGCTACAGCCAACGGGTCAGAAAACAAGAGACAACCTGAGACTGTCAGCTGGTTATAAAACTAGATTTGTAACTTTTTGGTACTGTGTCAGTTCTACATAAAAGCTTTGTCATTCGGATGGCTGTGCAGAGCTGTCCTCAGGCAGGTCACATTAGAAGGAGGGATCTAAAAGTGAGAGATAACATGATGAGGGTCATCAATATTAGAATGGAGACCGTTTGGAAGGCATACAGAGAAGAGCAACCGAAAATGTTAAGGGGCTGGAAGGAGTGATTTATGAGGAAAGATTACATTATCAAATGAGCCCACTTCTTCCCTGGTGTAATCTCACTGAGGTGTGTTGAATTGCACTAGGCATTAATTTAACCCAATACATATAGATTGGCTAAACTATGACTAAGGGGAAACATGATGTTAGAAGGTACAAGCTCCTCAGTGTATGTCTACATTGCAAGCAGGAGGTGTGACTGGATCACACGTAGGCATACTTGAGCTAGCTTTGATCTTCTCCACCCTTCTTTCTGGTACTTCTCAACTGGGATCAAGCCAGCTCGCTGAAAATCGCAGTGTAGTTGCAACAGCCTGGCTGCTGGCACAGGCTAGCTGCTCATGTACAGACCCAGGCTCTGGGACAGGTTTGTACTTGTGCAGCCAGCCTGTGCTTCTCTGAGTGCCACCATCACTTCACTGCTATTTTTAGTGAGCTAGCTCCATCAAAGCTAGCCCAGTGTAGACATACCCAAAGAGGAAGAGGCATTATTTAGGGTGTCACAAAGGAGTGTAAGTAGAAGTAACAGGATGAAATCAACAAAGGGAACATTTAGGCTGAATATGAGTAAGCTGTGTTAGGCTGTGGCACAGTCTCCCAATAGAAGTGGTGGGAGATCTACTTGGGGCATTTATAATTACCTGGAGAATGTACTGTAGAAAACACCCAGGCACTGGCCCCTAGGGGCATGGTCTAGTTGTGACCTAATTGATCTTCTCATCTCCAGTTCTTCAGTCCTGTGAAACTCTGTGAGAATACTATGTTCTGGGAATACAGGTACGGTATGCTCAAGGGCTCGCTTGACATTTGATCTTCTTCATTCAACTTTAGTACTTTAATCCTGTGGCTCAGTGAAAAGCAGGGCCGGCTTTAGGAAGTGCGGCGCCCAATTCGAACATTTTCGGCGGGGCCCCGACAGGGATTACTTTAAAATAAAAAACACG